TTGGTTTTCTAATAATGGGACACAGTTGGCTACAGGCTTTGGAGTAAAAAAAGACCTGACCTTAAATCTCGGCTCCTTCACTTAAAAGCACTGTGGCCTCATGCAACCTGCTTAATCGCTCTGTACCTTAGTTTCCTCATCTGTTAACTGAGAATTCCTCATCTATCTGCTTGCTAGAGTTGTTGCGAGCTTAGATGAAGTTATACATGGAGACTTAGAGTGCAGCCCCCGGCACATAGCAGCCCCCTTCCCTTCCAGAGATTGCTACCAGTCTGTTCCAATCCAGATCCTTGCAAGGAGCCATGACAGCACCTGCTGGACGTCTGTCTGGGTTACCGAGGCAGTCTGTGGCCATGCATAAAACAAAGCCAACTGACCCATAAAGGGTTCAATCCCATGATCCTGATCTCAATAGCGAGGCTCCAACCAACTGAGCTAATTACAACGGAGTCAAATTCAACTCTGCTTACATGAAGATGCTTTTAGCAGTTCATACAACATTCTCAAACAGTGTTGTCCTAAAATGTTATGACACAACACACTTGCCAAATTTACTAATGATCTCACCTTTGAAAAATCTTAACGTAATGTAGCAAACAGATGTGTCTCTTAAGAGGATTAAGATGGAAATTCATTAGTGAATAATACCAGTGGATTTGTGTTCTAAAACTAACACCAATCAATCACCTTAGTGCACATTCTGTCTTAGCTCTACTCAGCTTCAATAAGAACAATCGAAATGGGACAGCTAGGTCCTCACTCTCAAGGAAGTTATCTGTGAAAAGGGAAAAGAGTGAGAATTTCCGTGTGCTGAGAGCCTGACCTAAATCACCTGTAATCCATGCTTTTCAGACAGTAGTGTGCACCAGAATCATTAGGGCACCTTGGGAAAATGCCTGTTCTCATTCAGCAGAGAAGCCTGAGAGTGTGCATTTCTAATAGGAGCCCAGGGGCGGAGGCGGTGGCTCAAGGAGTAGGGCGCCGGCCCCATATACTGGAGGTGGTGGGTTCAAACCCAGCCCCAGCCAAAAATGGCAAAAACAAACAAACAAACTAATAGGAGCCCAGGTGATGCCCCACCCACATTTGGAATAGCAGTGATCTAGTCCTCACTGCAATCAGCTGCTTTACACCTAGGCTAGGCGAGGCAGCAAGGTAACCACAAAGACAAAGGTAGTGAGACAGAAATGAACACGGTGCTCTTGTAGTTAATCCAATGAGAGGATGCATCCTGAAACATGGATGGGCAGCCAGGAAAGAGAACATTCAAGAAAAAATGTTGAGTCCTCAAAAGCTTACACTTGCTGTCAAATGCCAACTCAAGGACTTCTCACTCACATGACCAGGGGACATCCTTCCAATCTTGGTCTCTCCTACTATGAGATGCACCAGAGGCTGTATGCCCCATGACCACATTGGGCTTGGTGACATTCTACCTTGTCTAGGATGGTCCTTGGCTCAGGCAAATGCCTAGGACATGGTAGTTATTATAAATGCACTCGGCCCAGTCCACAGCAGGCAACAAAATGTTTCCTGAATTAAATTACTAAGTCATAATCACCATTTTGACATATAAACTAGCCATTACTTATTTTGTCAAAATATTCTACAAGCCCAGTTTTATCTATCAAAGGCATAAGGGAATCCTTAGATCTTTAAATGCTTTTGGTTATCAATCAATACCAACAAATTTTAAGTTTTAAAAGGCATCCAATTCTACTAATTTTACAGTATTTTCCTAAATTTCTACTAATTTTACTGCATAGTTTTTCTTAAGTTATTAGTCCTATAATTACAAATTTTCTTTAAATAGTAAGCCAGAAATAAACACCTCATTATGCAGCATTTGAAAGAGAAATGGAAGTCCTCACCTAGTCCAGTCAAAATATATAACCACCAAAATGAACATCTCCCCACTGAGAATATGGCACATGTTTGACCGTTTTGTTACCAAACTAATGATTTATTTAATTATCCTCCCTAGAACTACTACAAAAAAGATGAAAGTACAATAAACAAAATTTATTGTTTTCGTCCGAGACAATAGTTTTGTTAAATGAACAACTTCTAACGGAATCAGCAGACTTGAGCTAAATTAACATATCATTAGGTTAAGAAAAGACATCCAGACACAAGCTTCAGCCAAGAAAGGCCTGAGAGATCTTCCAGTTCAAAGGGTCCCAGCACAGAAGAATCCCCAGGGGAGCTTTTAAAATTTGCACCATCTGAAGAGGCCTTCGCAGGGATGGTTACACAGGTGTGTTCCCTTTGTGAGAATTCATCCAGCTGCAAGTTACACTCTGTAGGCTTTTCTGTACGTGTGATCTACTTCAATCAAAAATTTACTTCCTAGGGGATTTAAATGTGCAGAAACAGTGGAGACCACTGAGAATGTCTGCATACCCCACGCCTGTGCTCCTTCCTCCCCTCTTTCTACCACCCAAGACACCTCCCTGCAAGGAATTCCCCCTCTTGCCCAGTTCCATGGAACCTGTGAAGGAAGTTTAACAGGGGCAGGGCCCTGGGATGATAACTTGCCCATTCCCTCACCACTGGCTAATTCAGAGCAGGGTTGCTAACTAAATGTTCCCACTTCTGACTGTGAACTCTACCAGGCCAGGAATTCTACCTCCAGGCTCTTATTCGCTTGTAACACTTGTAATATTTGCCTGCCCCCAGGGCCAAAAAGTTATCTTGCCTTCTAAGGTTATAGGGTGAACTCTTCAAGGTAATGGAACGGAAGCCCCAGGAGGCGAGGCTTCTGCCCACAGCCACACAACTGGCCCAGGGAAGGGAAAAACACTGAGGTCTCCAGTCACAAGGGCCTGGACTGAATCTCAGGCCCCCATTTCTAGCAGAAAAGGGGTTAGTTAATCACTCTGCCTCCATTTCCTCATTTTAAAACAGGGATAATAAAAACCCTCCTTCATGGTGCTGTGTGGTAGGAAATGATATCATGCATGGAGAGTCTGTCCTCATAGAGCACACAACATGCCAAGGCTTCAAACGCATTAGCTCTGTCAGGGATGAAGCATCCAATTTTACCATTCTCTGCCAGAAGCTAACTACCATCTCGACAACATGAACACGTCCTTAGGCACAAAAACATCTGACTTCTGCCTTACAGGAACCCTGGTTAGTACAATCAGCCACTCACTGTACTCTAGACGGGAAAAGTAGTGACAGACATCTGAATAGACCACAGGGGTCTTGGGTAAAAGAATCTGAGACTGAGGTTGGCTGGTCCCCAAGACAATTGTCAAGGGTCTCTGTAAGACATCTGCTGGTCTGTTCATTCCACACTAGAAAGTTCCATGACCCAGTACAACTGTTGATCTGTGCCCTCTAGGCAGGGGTAGGGAGAAGGCCCAGTGAGAGCATCAGGATTTCCTCTGACCAGACCAGGACACCCCATCAAAACTACAGGCCTATTCCATGGAAACATAAAAACACACTCCAGCTCTCAGCTTAAAAGGTCAGCCCATGTATACAGGGTTGGAAATCCAAGGAAACCACTTCAAGGTCACAGGGCCACAATTTTGAGTTTTCAGTGGTTTCAACAAAAGATCACTGTAATCAGAGACCAAAATGAATGAAATAATCATGATGTAAAAGAAGCTCTTTGAAAACTTTTAACTAAAAGCACTAATGGAGAAGAACCAAATAATTTACAGAAGTGATTCTGATAAGCTGAATCCATAATACAGCATTCGGTCCCTCTGCCTCCCATTCAAACACGCTTTTATGGCCAGATAGGTTTCTATGTACAGTGACTGTATCCGCCCTTCACCAATATGGAGAGAATGAAAGAAAACTGCCCCATTCCTTATTCCTGAAAAACGGTTACTAATTAAGTAGGGAAGAGCACTGATATACCAGGAGAGAAGGAAAAACGCCACTGTCAAAGTCCACGGTTTCCACACACAACCTCCTCCTCCAATTCCAACGCAGGTGAACATCATGTAGCAATCTGCAGAATTTTTTATATCAATTTTGTTCCTTTTGGCACCAAGGGTTATTTATTCCAAAAATATCAGTGTTGATACTCAAGAAATAAATCATCCCCAAGCTCTGATACGAACCCTAAGCAGAAAATATTCTGGGGAGTAATTCTTCATGCTGCGTTCAATCTGTTTAAGTGGGAGGAAGGGTTTTCCTGGGTAACTAAATGATTAGCTTTCAATGCCCAGTTCTTTACAACAAATACTTTGCAAGACGCCTGTCCTCTTGAAAAGGGTTTTTTTTTTTTTTTTTAAAGGCCACCCTCTCTAACGGGTGGACTGAGAAGCCATTCTTCCCGGAGGACACTCATTTCGGGCAACCAGGCTGAGGCTTTGTGAGAGCGCCGCCCCTCCGCGCCCCCGCCCCTCCTCCCACGGCGACTGCTCCTCGGAGGTTCCCAAGGCCACCTGCCTCTCAGAAGAAAAAGGGGATACTCCGCGCGCGATCGCAGTGCGCAGTCGGCGTCCCCAGCGGTGCCCCCGGGGGAGGGGGAGGTGTCCCCGGGAAGCGTGCTTTGTCGCAGGGTCGCACGGCCGCCTACAGCGGCCCCAGAGGCCTGAAAGAGATTTTGTCCCAGGCGTTACTCAGGGATCTCCTCAGAGGGACCTGAGTCCCACGGGACTCGGGTTCTTTCTGCACCCAGCTCGGTGCCCGCCGGGACACTGGGGCCGACTGCCCGCGTAGGAGCCCCACCCCGCCCACCCAGCCGAGGTAACGGCGAGGCGCCGGGGAACCTCCTCCATCCAGCCTCTGGCCCGCGCGGCACCTGCTCGGCCGCACCCGCCACAGGCTCTGGGTGTTCTTCCCGCTCGCCCCGGAGGGTCCTGCGCCAGCCGGCGGGTACCCGGGGCCCCTCAAACTAACCAGGAGGGGTTCTACTTTGGGACGCTTGTCCCCCCAGGACCGCGCCCAGCCCAGCCAGCCCACGGAACACGATCCCTGATCGCAGCGTGGTAGGGGCTGCGTCCCGGGGTCCCGGCCACCCCGCAGAGCCGTACCTTGTGCGGCGCCCGCAGGAGCCTATGGACCCCGGCCAGCTGAGTGCCGAGCGCGAGGTCCTCGCGGAACGTGAACAGCGGCGGCCGGCTGGGCTCAGGGAAGTTGGTGCTGTTGAAAGGGTCCGTGTCGTCCAAGAACTGCACCCGGCAAGCCAGCGTGGCCATGATGCATCCCTGCCGGGGGGTCGCGGGCCCCGGGGTTAGCGGGGCCGCGGGCCGGGACGCCGGTCGCTGAGCTAAGGGGAGGCCGCAACCGCTGCTCGCCGGCTCGCGGGCTCGCAGGCTCCTGCGCGCCCGGCTGCAGCCGGGGCTCCGGCCGCGGGGGGCGGGGCAGGGGCGGGGCTGCCTCCTTCCCCTCCACCTCCGGCTCCTCCCCTCCTCGGTGTCCCCAGCAGCCGGCTGAGCTGCCGAGACCTAGGGGACCCGCCGAGAAAGAGAAAGGGAGAAGGGCTTGTGCGGCATCCGCAGCCCTGCGCCAAAGGCCGGTGGCGGGGCGGGGACGCTGGGTGGGCAGACTCGACTGCACGTGCGCCCCTGGGGCCGGGATTCCTGGGCAGAGCTGCAGCCTTCGGAGCCCGAGGGACCGGGT